CTGAATACCTAAAGAATACATACTAAAACGGTGGACGCGAGAGGCAAGAGATGGGCAATCTTGGATTTCATTGGTCATGAAGTGCAAACGGATTCTAAATTACAACAGTGACAAAGATATAGAGACACGTGTTATCTATTCACTCGCGTTAGTTCATTTGCATCAGAGGGTGAATTTTTTTTTTTTTAATTTATCCATTATCCACAGAGAACATTTACTTAAGCTTCTTGAAGAAATGAGAAGGCAAAAGCGGGTGCAACGTAATAATGAATACTCGTCCAAGGCTGGCAATGTGCATCAAATTCATGTCACTTACGAGCAAAGTGGCCATGACATTACTGTAAATGGTTTTAAAAAATGAGACACATCAAGAGGGCAGAAAAAAAGACTCAAACCAACATTTGAAATTGCTAGAAAAAAAGGGAAAGAAATCTTTGAAACAACCCGTTCAATCATACGTGAATCATAAGGTGAGTAGCACTCTAATATGTTACAAATGTTTAAAACATACCGGTTTGACTACCATTGGATTTTCATTTTAAATTTTTTTTTTTTTTTTTTTTTTTTTTTTTTTAAAGGTGCTGAAATTCCAAACGAGTATACATGGATGTCCATTCCACCTAGTCCACCCCCAAGCCCTAACTTGCCGAGGAGTTACAACTACTAGAGGCTTCAATTTCTTAATCGGTGTGATAAAGATAGTGTAACAAGCGCATAAATATTGAACTACGATTTGTCACAAGCCACCACAAAAGTGAATATTGCTTCTCAATCATCGTACATTGTCCATTTCTTAAGCAAGTTATTACCTATTTCATATATTGTTATATTGCAATTTTTTTTGTTTGTTTAAACAATTATGACAATTATTTATATAACACGCTTGTTGCTAGGTCAATGAGACAATTCATCATGCTAAAGATACAACATTAGCAAATCTAAGCGGTGATTGGATAAGCCTATTCTTTTATTTATTTATTTATTTTTATAATCATAGTTGGTTATTTATTGATGGTAATACATATTTTATTTTTATTTATTGTATTTTTTTAAATGCAGCCCTTTGATCTTAACTCTTGAAGTTGTACTTAAGAAGACATATATGGCATTGTATTGTATCTGCCAGTCTGGGCTTTGCTTACCCCCCATAATTTTGTAGATGAAGTAGATGGTATCGAAAATAATTAGCTTGATTGAAGATGGCTGTTTTTACTTCACTTCCTTTGGGAATTCTTTCCTAGTTGAGTTTCATTATTTAGTTCTTGTTGAGAGTTAACTTGCCTAGTTGCTTTTACTTTACTTCCCTTGGGAATTATTGTTATTGTTTTGTTGAATCATACTTTGTAATCTGGTTTAGAATACTCATACTTTGTGAGAGGCATACCAAAAGTTGTGATCCTGTTGAATTATTACAATTATTCGCATGCCCTAAGCAAGTTTTTATGTAGAAACTTAGGCATGCTGCTCATATGTAGTATTTTGCTTGTATTTGGCATGATGATTTTTTAGGCAACTATTTCTTGTGCTTTGAAATTTCTTATGCACCGAAGAGAAATCTACTATATTATAAGTTTTGGGATTTCAAATTCCAATTTAGCTTAGAATAGAAGGAGTTGTGGAATAGGTAGTCAAATTCCAAAGTGATTTTATGAAAGGACTTGTAGGGAATTAGAAATGGAAAATTAGGAAAAACCTAAGAATTTTGTGGGGCTATTCTTCATATTTGCAGTGGACCAAACATTCCATCTTTTTTCTTTTGAAGGATCCTGTAAGTCAGGATTTGTGATGCTTTTATATTTTTTTAATTGGACGATGGTGATTTCGAGCTCCTCAATAACCTTTCACGTTTATGGACTAAAAAATTGCTCCAGATTCTCTGTAGATGGATGGTTTGAGCTTAAGCACGAATTATCGTCCTTTGTAAAAGTGAGATGTTTGTTATCTGCTAGTGATTTCTCATAATCCTAATTGGTTGTGTCCTAGAAAGTTGTCCTCCAAATTTAAGTCATCCCTTACAACTGATATTACAGTTTCAAATTGAATTGAGTGTTTAACAATAGCAATCCTATTTTAGTTATCAAGCAACTTGAAACTGCTATTTTCCTCTGGTTCTATCACAGTATCAACGTTTATGTTGCTTTCAACTTTTAGAGCCCCTTGATTCTGTATATACCACTTTCTCTTGTGGAATCTATAACAGAAAAAGAATAAAAGTGTTAGGTTGTATAAGAAAAGTATGAAATTTGATTCTTTTCAGGTTAACCTGATAATCGCTCCGATAAAATTAAGTAGTTTGGGCCAACAAATCAATTATGAGGCATATACATATCTTGTTCAAAAAGTTGATTTCGGCAAGCTCAAATTATAGAAAGAAAGCAAATGGTAGTTTTAGCAACGAAGTAGCTATGGTGAGCAGGGGCGGAGCCAGGATCTTGAGGTTGGGGGGTCAAAATTATAAACAACATTACCTAGCTAGAACGTAAAAATATTTTACTATTTATTATATTCATACAAAAATATATCTATCTAAACTTTTCCCAATTTATTTAAATAAAAAAACTAGTTATTTAAAGAAATTTTTTATCAAACTTTCTAAACAAACACAAATAAGATTTATGCCAAAATTATAAAAAAAAATTCAATTAAATAACTCTCTTTATTTACCGAAAAGAAAAAAAAAACAAAAATAATTTTTTGTTAAAAAAAGTAAAAAATTAAAAATTTAACAAAACAATAACAATGATTAAAAAAAAAAAAACACAAAAAAATTAATAAAATAAGAATTTAGATTCTTAAACTATCAATTTTTGTTGATATTCAAAACTTCAAATGAAAATTTTGTTCTAGATTTTGTAAAAATTAATTTCTTATAGAATTCTTATAAAAGCATTCCAATAAAAATAAATAAATAAATAAAAAGTGATGGAAAGAATAATGTATGAGATGGAATTTTAGGATAATAAGGTTATGGAAAGAATCCTGCTTGAGTTGGAAGGATTTTAAAGATAGTCACATTATGAAAAGAACAGTGTTTAGGTTGAAATTTTAAGATAGCCACATTAATTTTTTATCGGGAGAATTTTTTTTTTTTTTCTTAGAGGGCCATGTATAGATTTTATACCATATATGCTACACTATTTATTTTTACCTATACTACAAAAATAATATTCCAAAAAATTAGGGGGGCCATGGCCCCTTCCCCTTCCCTTCGATCCTGATGGTGAGTATTATCATCCAATTGTCATGAGAATAAGAAGGATCTTTGGCTTTCATTCAAGTTTATAGAGACTCATTCAACATTACATCCAAGAACCACGACAAAATTACGTTTAAATTTTTAGATGGTTCGGTTAACTCAACAAGTCACTAGAGTTGAATGATTATTATTATTTTATGTTGTAATCAAGATAATATTGGGTTTGTTTAATAAAAAAGAAGAAGGAAATCACTATTAGAACCACCCTTTTGTGCACATGAAGAGTTGTACATTTTCAAGAATTGCCTTGCATTATGAAAGCTTTGCATCATATATAATCTTCAATCAACCTTCCTCTTCTGAAAGTATAAAAGGGCAAATCTTCCAACTTGTGAGACAATATAGTCCCTCAGTGGATTACGTGGGAATTTCCATGAATGGTATGTTAGGCATATTAGGATCCTTTGTAGTAAATAGGTCATGTTGTACCCATATTGTAGTGCAAAAAAGAAATTTTTTTAAATGGATAACTTTAGAGTTAGATGGAAAAACCAAATGAGAGGGATCTTTTGTTTTTTGTTTTTGTTTTTGTTTTTTGTTTTTGTTTTTTTTTGTTTTTTTTTTTTTTTTTGGTAGTTTTCTGTTTTATTTGTTTTAAAGCTGTTCCCTTTTTCCGTATGGGTATAGCAGGACCCATTTACTGCAGAGGAACCTAATCCCTCTACATATAAAAAGACCTACAGTACTAGTTTAGCTCCCTCAACCATTGCCAAGTAAAAAAATAAAAATAAAAATATATATATATCTTTGTATTCCATATTCGAAGTTGTAATACAATAATTTACAAATCCCATCAATTTTGGCATTTTTTATGGGATATAGTATACATGCGTAGTTCAAATCTTATAAAATTCAATTCCATTTTAAATTCCTCTAATTTTAAAAATTGACAATACTATTTTAAATTGAGAAAATTACTTATAGGTAGAGTTAGAAGTCCTAAATAACAAAATGAAGTCTATTTTTCAATTTGATTGATTTAAACAAAATAATTACAAATACATTAAGAATTATTATTAAAGTCCCAAATACAATATGACTTGTTTTTTTTGTGGTTGAGGTTTTTGTTTCCTTGCTTGATTATCAAAATATATATATATATGAAAGAAAGTTTCCCCAATTATCTTTTCAAAGTAATGTCATATATCATTTGTAGTGAGACCAAATTTACAAATTTATGGAATAAAATTTAAAAGCAAAATAAGATAAACCTACCAATAAACGTACAAATATTATAGTGTAAAAGTCTAGTTAAAGACAAAAAACATTTTTTTGAAACATAAAAATTGTAATAAACTTTTATAGTGTAAGGCATATGATTTATTGTTGTAGGCAATATTCCTTTTCTTTCCTTGACTTTATAATAAAGATGATCATTGTTTTAGGAATGAAATATTAGTACTTGTTACATTATTTTATTAGAATAATGTGATATCAGTTATGTTCTTAGCAAAATAATATAGGTTTTTTATTGGTAGTTTATTTTATTTTGTTATTCTATAATCTTATAAATTTGGTCTCACTAAAAATATACATGAAATCAATTTGAAAAGATAATTCGAGAAAACATTTTTTTGATATATATATTGATAATTAATCAATTTTATTAAATAAGGAAACAAGAAAAATGTATATTTCTTGACAACCTAAAAAGTAAGTCAGATTACAATAAATCATTTTATTATTTTGTACTCCTAACTCTGTCTGCGTATAGTTTCCCTTTTAAATTTCAATCCCACAAAATCACATCATTCCAAACACGGTGTTAAATCGGGATACTAAACCAATGGAAACATGGACATTCCGCGTTTTCCCTCTTTCCTTTGTCTTCGTTTCTCAGCCACCACGCACCCACAGCAAAGGGAGATGATGAATAGACTTACAGACGACCTCGTGACCGACATTCTCTCGAGGCTGCCCATCAAAACCCTCACGCGATGCAGGTGCGTATGCAAACTCTGGCGCAATATAGCACGCGACCCTCGATTCATTCACTCCCACCTCAACAATCGATCCTCCCAGCAAAACCCTAGTTTCATTCTCAGCTCTACCCTCTGGTTCAATTCCGCCTTCCGCAGCCAAATCTACTTTCTAGAACACAACGAAACTTTGGGTTCCACTTGTGAAAAGGTCAGTTTTTCAATACCCGATCTCAAAGAGTTTCGATTGATCAGTTCTTGTAATGGTCTCCTCTGCTTGGTTGATTGCATGAACAGAGACACAATTTATATATGCAATCCTTTCACTAGATGTTGCACTAAACTTCCCAATCGGATTGACCCATCACAGAAAATTAGTGGATTGGTGATGGGTTTTGGATTTAACCCAACAAGAAACGAATATAAGTTAGTAGAGATTATTAATTCCTCTGGACCTCTCATGGTATCTAGGGTTTTTGTGTACACTTTAGGTGATGGGCTTTGGAGAGATAAAGGTAAGGTTCCTTATGTAATCCCTTCGCAGCAATCGGCTTTGGCTTCTTCTGAAGCATTTGTGTGTGGAGCTCTACACTGACTCAGTTTATTTCCCGCCAAGCACATTGCTTCTTTTGATATTGCAAATGAACTATTTGGAGTCATACCGTATCCTGAAATGGTTGTAGATGGTGGACGTGGTTTGTCATTGGTAGTGTTGGGTGGGTGTCTTTCAATCACGGCCCCTTCATTTCATGAACATATTGATTTGTGGATTATGAAGGATTATGGTGTTAAGGAGTCTTGGGTTAAATCTTTCTCCATAAGTTTTCATCTGGGGTGGGACATCATCAAATATCTTCAAACTCAATGCTTTCAGGGAAATGGAGAACTTTTGATGCATAATTATCAAGCTTTGCTTTCTTATAGTCCCAGGACCATGACATTGAGGAAGCTTAGAATTGCAGGGCTTCCATCTTGGTTCGAAATGGTTAACCATGTAGGGAGCCTTGTTTCATTCAAGACTGTTAAAGATACAAAAGAGAATATTGAAAGGTCGAATTGAATGAGCTGGAATGTTGAAAGAAGACGTAAGGAAGTTGACATAAAAAAATAGTTCGATTTAGAAAGGAAATCGAGGCCAATCACAAGAATTATTCTTGTCTTCTCCGTGAAGAAGACTTGTGGTTGGAGTGTCGCATAGTTTATGATCTTTTGAGCTAGGGGCACAGCAGCCAAGGGTTATGGGGGTGCTTCGGGTTCATTTCCCATCAACTGCTGCACGCCATCAGCAACCTGAGTTTGTAAACCTTTCTTTCAACTTATTCGTGCTTTTGTTTTCTAATCTTACTGAAAGTAGAAAATTTGGTTTTTCTATTTGATATATATGTGTGTGGTAGAATCTAGTAGTAGCTGTGCGTAGTAGTTCTTACTGCAGGTAGGCGGTCCATTACAAGAGTTTTACTCGTTTGAATTATTGTTAAACCTGAGCACGCTCTATTCTCATGGATCTATAATTAGCATCCAAGTATTAAACTTATTTAGCTCTTTATGAATTGTTTCATTTTATGCTTCCAGTGTGGAAACATGAACTAGAAAAAAATTTAACTTTGCATTATTATGAATGATAGATGGCAACTACCAGGGGCCAAAAAGAAAGAAGATGAATTTGTAGGGTAATTGTTTAATGCTTGTTTTAAAGCATCTAAATAGAAGACTTACCAGTGCTCTTTTTTCTTGAGGATGTTTTCCGTCCATAATTTTCCTTTACTGCTTGGGAAGTTATCATGAAGTAATAAAAGAATGTAGCAGTTTGAACAAAAGACACAAATATTGTAGTCAACAGCGCTGTTCCTTTTGTTGGGGATTATTTAGCTTTGAGAATGTCTCCGAACATCTGAACATTATTGTGCATTTTTTGGGCCTAGTTGATGGCAATGAGCTTTGGAAGCTTAAGTAAATTCCACATTTTTTGATTGGATTGTTACAGGGGGAAGACCGTGCAGTATTAAGTGTTATTCACCAAACATATCAAGGCAGCAACAAGCTCTCTTGATATATGAGCCACTCAATGTGTTCAGTCACCTGGACAGCTTGATGAGTTAGTCTTTGTTATAGTTGAAGAGTTTTAATTGTAGCAGAAAATCTGTTGCATATAAGTCTCCTCGCCTGTAGGCAGTGTGACGGCCCAAGTTTTTTAACCCGGTGCGTCAGTGATGACCCCGAAAGTTAACTTGATAACGGATTCGAAATGCGGAAGCGAAAGACAAACCAAGGTCTCTAGAGATATAAATCATCCCTAAGATACCAATGTAACCTTCCATGAAGTCACGGAATTTAAGGAGAGCAAAAGAGCAAACGAGAGTCAAAATGGGGCAAAATTCGTTAATTAAGGGCAAAATGGTCAATTCACAAATAAAAAGAGGAAATCGACTCTAAACAAGTCAAACATGGTGAATACAATCTAATCTAATAATTTCACAACTATCCAAGAAATTCTAAGAACTTTGGCTAAGAATCTCAAAAAATGTCCTTTCTCGGTTTAAGCAAAAACTGACACCATCTCACTAAAATGTGAGTAACTCTCACAGTGATTTGAATCTGAGAATGACATTGGTACCATTAGAAAATTGGCTCAAAATCCTTGAGTTTAGGCTCAAGAATCACCCCATTTAAGTTAGAAATGAAGAAGTTATGGCCCTTTAAAGTTGGAATATCAATGCTGAAACGAAATCTGGAGAGCTGTTGTATGCAAGCTATTTTGGTCGACTGAACTGAACAGAAATTTTCCTGAAAACATATTTTTGAGGGGAGGTTACTTCGATAGACCGAAATAAGGTATCGGTCGACCGAAATGACCCTGAACAGTGAAAATGGCTACTAGAATGAGTGCTTTACTGTGCAATGAAGTTTCCAAAAGCCATCGGTTAACCGAACTAGCATTTCGGACGACCGAAATGACTTGAAAAGCTGCTGAATGACCTGTTATACACCAAAAACATTGAGGTTTAGCCCAAGCCTCAAATCCCCTTATGAATTGGTTCAAAAACAATGGTTAAAAGTTGATTTTCAAGGAGATGTGAATATGTGGACATGTCAACAACTTTAAAATGAATAATTGAATGTAAAACAATGGCTCATGGCCTTATACATGTCAATTATAAGAATTTTATATGCCTAACCTCCAAAGTTAGTTAAAATACATTTTTTGAAGCAAAGTTTAGTACCAAATGAATACAAGTACTAAAGTAAACATGCTTGGCTCTTGGCCTCATTACATACATGCTTATAATGTTAAAAGTAAGTACTTAAGTATCATTACACATCAATGAAGCTCATTGGCTTCTAAAATACCACACACCTATGGTACACAAAATATATCCTCAAAAGTAAAGCATGCTAAACACTTGCATGTCAATATACAAAAATGCTTCAAATTGCTCATAAGCCTCTAAGGATGATGATCATCCAAGAACATAGTCTCTTTACCTGTAAAACAACCCAAACCACTAGGGTAAGTAATCAATTTACTCGTAGGAAGGAGCATATGTGTATACCCTAAAGTTTCAATATCATTGCAAGATCAATATAGACGAACACAAGGGATCATTCCACTTAACGTCTATATTTAAGGTGTTCTAAGGGATTATCTTAAGCTAACTTAAATAATTACTTAACAACACATATCAGCATCAATGTACTTATCAACATCAATGTACTTATCAACATCAATTCGTCAATAACAAAAATTACAAGTTACAATTAAATATTGGTTGTCGACTTGGAATTGAATGCGAAATCAATTAGTGCGCACAATATCCCAAGAGAATCCAAAATATATCAAGTTCAAAACTTATACATAATATTAAGGTATATATACCACTTTCCATGCACAAGTATTTTGAAATCACACAACTATGTTGTTAGTCGCTAATTGACTCTAGAAGGGGGGGTGAATAGAGTCAAGGGCCAATTTTTGTAATTTAAAAATATTAAATCTAACAGACTATTAATCACAAAGAAACTGAAATATTCAAGCAGTGTATGGCACAAATATAAGAGAGATAGAGATGAGAGATTACAAACAATGACTCGGCGATTTAGCGAGGTTCGGAAACTCCTACTCCTCGGCTCAAGGTCCTCCTTGAGACTTTCCAAAAATCACTAGAGCTTCTCCTTAATGGTGGAGAGCAAACCTTCAGTTTAAGCAATACCTTGTTTCTCTTCCTTGCTAAGAGAACACCCTCTCCTAGACTTTCTTTTGGGTCACACCAATCCTTTTACAATAACTTGAAAAGAAATGAATTGTACAATAAATCTCTCAAAGATAGAAGTACACAGTTCTGCTCACGACTATAGTAAAGATGAATATATATCTGAAGCCCAGAATTACTACAGTAGAATGAAATGTCAGAGAGGGAATGAAAGCAGAGGGAATGAAAGATTAACGAATGCTTCTTTAATGCTTTTTAGGAATGGTAGAATGCTCTCTATGATTGTGTGTTTTTATGATGCAGACCAACCTCTGTATTTAAAGATAAACAATGGTCGATATAGTTGTTGCAGGTGGTTGGACAACAATAAATGAAAAAGTTTCCGTGGTAGATCAAAACCCTAGAAGGAGCCGGCTCTTTGCAAAAGTGGAGGCGGCTCAATTTCAAATGGAGGCGGCTCCATTAAAAAAGTGGAGCAGGCTCTTTTTCTGAAAAGGAGACGGCTCAATAGAAAAGTGGAGCCTTCTTTAGATTTTTAGAGCCTTCTCTACTTTCAGTAGGAAGCTTAAAATGAATTCCAGTATGATGTAAGGCTCATTTGAATGTGTTTAAAAAAACTAATGAGCTAATATTTATGTTCTTTGAGAGATGAGATGAGAATGATATGTATGAATTGTAATTTTGAGCTTCAAAATATATTAAACTAAACTTTGACATTGAACCTTAGTATCTCACCATCCTATCTACCCTTTTCTTCATTTCTTGATCATGATCGTCTAGGCTTGATGAAGATTTGCTGAAAAGCTTGAATGATCTTTGAAGACCAAGTTCTTCTTTATTTTCTTGCACTTTGATGTTTCTTTGAAATCATTGCTTGAGTGTTTGGAATGTTTGAAATGGAACTTCTAGCTCATCATTAAGGATTGAATGATTGAACAACTATACTTCACTCAATGAAAATATTAGTACATAAACATCATTAATGGATTGTAATCATCAAAACATAAGGTTGACCTTTAGATAGAATCCTTAGGCCAACAATCTCCCCCTTTTTGATGATGACAAAACATTGATGTGTTTATAGTCAACATGGAGCATATTTTGAAAATTATATCAAACTTGATTCAATAGCAATAATTTTAGCATATAAATTTCGCAGACATTTTTAGAAGACTCCCCCTATCAATATGCATCTATCAAGATACTTAAAAAATAATAGAATAACACATTAGCATGATAATACATCTTTCTCCCCCTTTGTCATCTAAAAAAAAAAGGGAGGTGAAATGAATAGATAAAGAAAAATAACTGGCCATTTCAGGAAATATCAGAGAAGAATGAATTAAAGGGCAAAAGATAAGCAGAAATAGCATTTTATAGATAACAGAAAGAGACTGTGAATACAAGTACCATATGACAGATAAAGGCATAGTTTATAAAACACAGAGAAAAAAAAAACTTCTCTAAAGCAAATAAAGCTAATAAGTGCACACAAAAGAGGGTGTGAAATAGAGAAAAACAGTTCTAAGAGAAGAGGGTCCAAATTGGTTTCGAAATTCTGTAAAATCCTCATTAAGATGAGCGATTGCTATGTGCATTTCGTCAAGTTGAGTTTGTTGTTTTTCAAGAGTGGCTTGGTTCTGACGAGTCCCTTTGAGAATTTCCAACAAGAGAGCACGATTGGTACGATTTTCAACTGGAACTTCCTTATTTTCATCATCGTTATCACTTTCATGGTCGTCTTCATCCCCATCATCAACATCCTCAATCTCTTCTCCTCTAGCTCGAGCCTCTTCCAACCTTCGTTGCCTAGGATAAAACCACACTCCATTGTAATCCCTTTTTAGTCCCATTGACGCAAGATTTGAGGCAGTGAGAATGTGTCTTGGCCCTAGTTTGACTGCTTCACGACTATCAAGCGGAACCTTTTTAGCCATAAATATGTGAGAGAGAACCATGGGATAATATAGAGAGACCTTTTTCTTTCTTTTGCATGTAAGAAGGTGATGAAATATGATGTATGCAAGATCAAAGTGCTTGCCATTTAAGACACACCAGATAAGAAAGACGTCCATGTGGGAAACTTTGGATCGACTGCCAGATTTGGGAAGAATAGAGTACATGATGATCTTGTGAATCAGCCGAGCTTCCATAGTTAATTGTTTGGTGTTG